ATATGTGTTGACTGGAGACACAAACAGAGAGAAGGAAAGTGAGAAATCACTCCCCAAGGGGGATGGGCACTCCACAATCCTTTCTCTTCCATTCTCCTCTCAGGATTTTGGGTATACATGCATACACGCCTGGCATGTTTTTCAAGCTGCTGGGGTGTACCACACAGTTGGCCATGTGGGATGCAACTGCCTTCTTAACCTCCACACTGTCTGCTGACCCAACACATATGGGGTTTTTGCTTACGATTTCTTTTATTTAAAAATGGGATTATATTATATTTTCTCTCCATCTCATTTTCCATAGTTAACAATGCTCATGGAAATCTTTCCAGGTCAATTAAGAAGCTAATTTATTATTTTAATGGTGCATAATATGGTGTGACTACTCCATAATTTATTCAGTATTCCCATATGTATAGGCATTTACTTTGCTCCAAGTTTTTACTGTTATAATTAATATGCTTGAATATCTAACAGTAGGTCCTGAAATTTTTTTTTAATGGGATAGATTTTCAGGAGTGGGGTTGCTGATTGTATTTTAAATTTTGATAGCGATTGCCAAATTGCTTAAATAATAATGATTTCCATTGTCATTTGCATTAGTAACTAAGAGAGCACTTTTACTTATCCATTGTTCTAATGGCTTATTTGTCTTTTCTTGTTGATTTGTAAGAATGCTTCAGATATTAGAGAATGGCCATTTATCTTGTTAGAGATACATTTTTAAAACTTAACTATGGGGGGGGCAGCAGATAATATAGTGGTTAAGGCACTGGACTCCCACATGGTCAATCATGGTTCTAGTCCCAGACCTGGATTTTTGAAATTCACACCAGGCACATGTGTGTGTATGCTCAAAATCCTAAGAGGAGAATGGAGGGGAAGGAATTGCAGTGTAGCCATCCTCTCTGGGGGGTGATTTCTCACTTTCTGTCTCTCTTTCTCTCTGTCTCTCTGGTGAATACACATGCCTTATAGCAAAAGTCTTTATAAAATATTATTTGGTCCAACTGGTGGCATGGCGATTAAGGCAGCTGTTTCCCACATCGCCAACTACGTGGTTTGAGTCCTGGACCTGACAACTTGAGAAACATGGCAGGCGTGTGTATATGTGTGGAAAAATCCCAGGAGGAGAATGGAGGGGAAGGAATTTCAGTATGGCCATCCACTCTGGAGAATGCTTCTCACTTTACCTGTCTCTCTCTGTAACAAGCTCATATGCCCTATAGCAAAGAAAAAAGAAAAATCTGTCATTATAGACTTTATTTATGATCTATGTCCTTCTATAACCCTTGATTAAAAGATTATACAGTATAGTCTGTTTTCGTTTCTAATATATTTATTATTTCTGTACTTTTTAAGAAAAAAAAAACATGGCATAGTTGTTAAAGCACTGGATTCCCATATGGCTGACTGCCATGAAAAAAAAAAATTTTTTTTTTGAGGTTTTTGCCCTAGGGCACGTACACTCAACAGAGAGAGAAACAGAAACAATGAGAGGGAAAGTGAGAAACCCTTCTCCTCCATTCTCCTCTCAGGATCTTGGGCACGCACACTCAACAGAGAGAGAAACAGAAACAATGAGAGGGAAAGTGAGAAATCACCCCCTGGGGGATGAGCTCACCATAATCTCTTCTCCTCCATTCTCCTCCTGGGATTTTGGACACATACGCACATGTACCTGGCATAATTTTCAAGCCACCAGGTCTGGGATTTGAACTGTGGTCAGCTATGTGGGAGTCCAGCAATGTAATTGCTATGCAATCTGCTGGTCCTAAAAAAGAATAATTTTTTTGGTTGGGGGGCAAGAGGTTTTTGCTCTAGGGCGCATATGGTCACCAGAAAAACAGAGATAGAGAGACAGAATGTGAGAAATCACTCCCCGGTGGTGGTGGTGGGGGGGATGGCCACAATCATGGTTCTAGTCCCAGACCTGGATTTTTGAAATTCACACCAGGCACATGTGTGTGTATGCTCAAAATCCTAAGAGGAGAATGGAGGGGAAGGAATTGCAGTGTAGCCATCCTCTCTGGGGGGTGATTTCTCACTTTCTGTCTCTCTTTCTCTCTGTCTCTCTGGTGAATACACATGCCTTATAGCAAAAGTCTTTATAAAATATTATTTGGTCCAACTGGTGGCATGGCGATTAAGGCAGCTGTTTCCCACATCGCCAACTACGTGGTTTGAGTCCTGGACCTGACAACTTGAGAAACATGGCAGGCGTGTGTATATGTGTGGAAAAATCCCAGGAGGAGAATGGAGGGGAAGGAATTTCAGTATGGCCATCCACTCTGGAGAATGCTTCTCACTTTACCTGTCTCTCTCTGTAACAAGCTCATATGCCCTATAGCAAAGAAAAAAGAAAAATCTGTCATTATAGACTTTATTTATGATCTATGTCCTTCTATAACCCTTGATTAAAAGATTATACAGTATAGTCTGTTTTCGTTTCTAATATATTTATTATTTCTGTACTTTTTAAGAAAAAAAAAACATGGCATAGTTGTTAAAGCACTGGATTCCCATATGGCTGACTGCCATGAAAAAAAAAAATTTTTTTTTTGAGGTTTTTGCCCTAGGGCACGTACACTCAACAGAGAGAGAAACAGAAACAATGAGAGGGAAAGTGAGAAATCACCCCCTGGGGGATGAACTCACCATAATCTCTTCTCCTCCATTCTCCTCCTGGGATTTTGGACACATACGCACATGTACCTGGCATAATTTTCAAGCCACCAGGTCTGGGATTTGAACTGTGGTCAGCTATGTGGGAGTCCAGCAATGTAATTGCTATGCAATCTGCTGGTCCTAAAAAAGAATAATTTTTTTGGTTGGGGGGCAAGAGGTTTTTGCTCTAGGGCGCATATGGTCACCAGAAAAACAGAGATAGAGAGACAGAATGTGAGAAATCACTCCCCGGTGGTGGTGGTGGGGGGGATGGCCACGCCCCAGTCTCTTCTCCTCCATTCTCCTCTTTATTTTTTCCATGAAAGAGAGAGAGAGACAGACAGACATCCCCAACAGAATCTTCATACTGCCCACCCCTTGCCTCAGCCAGCCCACATCACTGGCAGGGGTGCCTGGTATGTACAGGGAGACTCTACAGTAAGAGCCTGGACCTTCCCATGTGGGGCCAGTTGCACCACTGCACCGCTGGGTCTGGCCCCATTTGTGTGCTTTTCTGTGGGTATATGATACAGCGTATCATTTTCTTTTCTTCCCAGATGGTGAACTACTTGTGCCTTCACTGCTTATTAAATACACCCATTTCCCCCTAGAATTGACATATCATCTTTGCTTATATTAAATTCTCTTACTATTTTTTTAATTTAACTTTATTTATTATTGTTATTATTATTTTACAGTTAGATTGGCCAGAGAGAGAAGGAGAAAGTGAGAAACCAAAGGACTTGAACCACAGTCAGCCATGTGGGAGTCCAGCACCTTTGATCATCATACCACTTGCTGGCCCCTATTTTTTGATTTTCAGCAACCTAGCATTAACTTGGTGTCTGTGGATAGCTATGGCTCACCTGAGTGACAGATTCTCTTCTTCTCTCCTCTGGGGAAGCATGGCTTGACGGTAATTCACCTGGCAGCCTGGTCTGGAAGCCTCGAAATCATGCTCATGCTGGTTAGAGCTGGAGCAGACCAGAGAGCTAAGAATCAGGTATGTGTGTGGGTCACCCTGGACATAAGCTCTCTCCTCACCAATGAGGACAGGAGAAAGATCGGAGGTCACTGTGTGAGTGTCTCCCTCACTGGCTCTCTTCAGGATGGAATGAACGCCCTCCACTTTGCAGCTCAGAGCAACAGCGTGCGCATCGCCGAGTACCTCATTCAGGACCTGCACCTGCAGGACCTGAACCAGCCTGACCAGGTGTGTTCATGTGTACCCCACCAAATTCCATTTTCTTCCTGCCCCTAGTGGAACTGCCAGAGCAGCAGCGTAGACAGGCCAGAACTGTAGCCATGCCCCCATCACTGTGGCAGGCCCCAGAGCAGAAGGGGAGTGTTTGTGTTGGCAGTGGCCCCAGCCTCTGTGAGTGGAAGGACAGGACAGGAAGTATTGAGGAAGCAGCCAGATTCCCTCTTCATTTCTACTCCCTCGTCCTGGCTAGGGTGCACAAAGTGTCTATTCCCCTTAGTGTTTAGTTGTGTGCCTGAATTTTATTCTATTATGCCCCACCTTTTTGAAATGTATTTGACCCAAAGTTATGCAGTAATGGGCCATGGAACAGAATGCAGTTTTACTGTATGTATTTATGCCTTTTCTTTTCCTAAGGAGGTGCATGATAATACCAGCTACCACTTCATGAGAGTTTATTAATGTGCTGGGTGCAGAGGAAGGCTATCTGCATACATTATTTCAGCAAGAGGTCTAGGGCCTGGCACGTACAAATGCTCCACAAATCATTGCTGAATGAATAGATTAGCTCGTGAATTCCCACAATAATCCTACATGAGGTAGAATATATTTTGCTCATTTTTATAGGTGAGGAAGCAGAGGCTCAGAGAAGTTAAGTACTTGGTCCAAATTGGACAGAGCCAGGTCTGGCTGACCCCAATTGTCACGCTATACTGTCTCCCTTCTTGGGTGACAGTGGGCATTGTCCATGTATCAGGGACTGTCTTTTCCGTGGAATATCTCCTTTGATGCTTTCGGCATAGAGCAGTATCCTTGGTGCAACTGGCATGTTGATTTCTGGGGTTTATTGGATCGTTAGAAAAGTCTGACATATTTTTCTGTGCAAAAATGCATCATGACTTTTCCAACGAACAAATTCTGTGCCACTAAAGCATTATTCTCCGTGAATGCTTCTCTAGAAGTTCGTCAATAAGAGTCACTACATTTCACCTCTTTTAAAAAATGTTATATTTTTTCCCTGACCCTATTTTTTTTTTTAGAAGTTTTTGCTATGGGGCACATGCACTCGCCAGAAAGGCAGAGAGAGACAGAGAGATGGAAAGTGAGAAAGCACCCCTGGGAAGGATAGCCATGCCACAATCCCTTCTCCTCCATTTTCCTCTCGGGATCTTGGGCACGCATGCACACGCTCCCGGTGTGAGTTTAAGCCACCAGGTCCAGGGCTCGAACCACAGTCGACTATATGGAAGTCCAGTGACATAGCCATTACACTAACTGCTGGTCCCTTAAAGTGCTATTCTTAGAAGAGATACAAGGCATCACCCTCCTCCAAAAACAACTGCCATTTTAATGTGCCCCATGAGATCAGTTTTTAAAAAATGTTGTATTTTTTCCCTGACCCTATTTTTAAAAACAGTTTCTAACCTATTTCTTCAAATGAGGTCTATAAATTTATTTTACTTTCTTTACCAGTGACTAAAAAACTATATGTTTAAGGACCAGCAGTTGGCACAATGGCTATGTTGCTGGACTCCCATGTAGCCAACCATGGTTTGAGACCCAGATCTGGTGACTTAACCTCACGCTGGGCGTGTATGCGTGCATGCCCAAGATCCCAAGAGGAGAATGGAGGAGAAGGGATTGTGGCATGACCATCCCCCCCGGGGGGTGATTTCTCGCTTTCTGTCTCTCTGTGTCTTTCTGGTGAGCTCATGCGTCCTATATAAAAAATAAAACAAAACAAACAAACAAAAATCTCTCAAAAAAACAAAAAACCCCAAAAAACAAAAACACTATATGTTTATAGCTTGGAGGCAGACAGACCTAGGCTGTGGCCTAGACTACCAATTAGCTGTATGGATTTAAGTAAGTTATCCAACTGCTGAAAGTCTCAATTTTTCCATCTGTACAATGAGAATAATAAAATCTACTTCATGGTAGCATGGAGGGTTGATGGGGGGAGTCTTATCTCCCAAATTTTGAGTCAGCAAACCTCTGTTTTTTAATACATATGATTAAAATTTCTTTGTTCTTGGACCAGCAGATGGTGTAATGGTTACATAGATGGACTTCCACATGGTTGACCACAGTTCGAGTCCCAGACCAGGCAGCTTAAAACTCACGCTGGGCACGTGTGCATGCATGCCCAAAATCCCAAGTGGAGAATGGAGGAGAGGGGATTGTGGCATGGCCATCCCTCCTGAGGATGATTTCTCGCTTTTCTGTCTCTCTCTGTCTCTCTGGTGATCGCATGTGCCCCATAGCAAAAATGTCTCTAAAAAAGAAAAGAAAGGAAGGAAGGAAGGAAGGAAGGAAGGAAGAAATTTCTTCAATCTCATGTAAAAGTACTTGTACAAATGAGCTTCCGACATTTCTTATAATCCCCTTCCAGTCAGGCACATCCCTTCCAAGCCATTCATATGTAGCAATATTGGCACAGCCACTGCTAGAATATTTAAATGAGGTAAACTATAAGGCACTTAGCAAAAAGCTGGATATGTGGTAAGTGTTTGCTAAATAATAGTTTTATAATCATTGTTATAGAGCAAAATGCACTATCTGATTTCCTCAAACTGACAACCACAGTCAAACACCACTTGGTGTCAGGAGGAGGAAGTTGGATATTTCTAGTTTGATCCATGTGAATGCGGATGCTGTCCATGAACCAATTCTGTTCCATTCAGTTCAGCAGTTATTTGTTGAGGGCCTGTGGTGTCTGAGACACAGTTGCTTCTCCTTTCGGTGGGCTTTGACTGTGTTTATGGGAGACAGCAGTGTATGGGAAGGATCAGGCAGGCCGACGGGGTTCAAAAAGCAGAGCAGGTTTGCAGGGAACCTTTGTCACTCTGGAGCACCTGCTGGCCAGCAGCCCTTCTGTCCATCATCTCTGTTCAGCTGGTTCTGAACTTTTCTGTTCCACCCCTCTCCCTCCTCTTCTGTCTCTGTTAGGGAAAAAACCTAAGAACCCTGGCAGCAGACTGTGTGAGCCTCATGTCCAGTGGAGAACTCTTACATTAAGATGGGTTCAAAGGGCCTGGTGCACATTATCATTGGTGCGGCTGGGCCTGTATGGAAAAGGTCCCGGGTTTATGTTCTGGAACATCCTTGAGCATGCAGGGTATCCAGGTGTGCTTGCTGTCTGGGTTGACAGACTGGGGAAGGATTGTGACGTGAGGACCCTGTTGGTAGTGTCTGTCTCTCTGTCTCTCTCTCTCATGGAAGAAATAAATAAATAAACTTAAAAAAGAAAGACGGGTTCAGAGACATACAAGAGAATGAGCAAATAGTGAGCCCACTGGGTTGTGTAGAGAAGGGAGACTCTCTGAGTCCCGTTGAAGTACTACTATAAGAAAATTAGTTTGATGGATGGAAAAGACAAAGCCTGCTTTTTTTCTAAGATCTTCTTTTCTAAGATCTGTGAGTAGGGTCAAGTATATTGGGTTGGCAAAAGCAAGTTAGAATGATGGTTGCTAGAGGCTAGGAGAAGGGAGAATGGGGAGTTATTTAATGGGTACAGAATTTTAGTTTTGCAAGATAAAAAGGGCTATGGAAATGGATGGCAGTTGTATAGCAGCATGAATCTATTTAGTCCACTGAACTATACACGTATTAATGGTTAAGATGGTAAATTTTATGAGCATTTTAACATAATAAAGGAAATGGGGGTGCCAATATGTGGCATAGTGATTACAGTGCTGGACTCCTACATGGCCAACCATGGTTCGAGTCCCAGACCTGGTGGTTTGCTTTCACTTTCTCTCTCCCTCTCTCTGTTTCTCTCTGGTGAGTGCTTGTGCCCTATAGAAAAAATTGATTAATTACTTCATTCATTAAATAATTCTTTTAAAAAAGAAATGGGGAAAAAAGTCAATCGTAAGATTGGGACTGCAGGATTGATTAAGTAATTCCCTTCTGTATTCACTTAAAGACAGTGTGAAGTTCATGGACTACATTTGCCAAAAATCACTCCATCTTCTCAGCATTACCCTCTTCCCTAATTTCTTATCTTCAGAAAGTGACTGAGGGCTTGTTTACCTGTCAGAGTTATAATAAAACCCTTCTCTGTAGCATAGAGAAAGTCTAAATGCTAACACGGAAGGCTTTTCTGGGAGGAGATCTTTCAAACAAAATGGGTTTAACTAGCCCAGAAGAGTTTGGTTATGGGTGGGAAAAATTCAGGACACTAAGAAATCTTGTGAGGTTTATACCAGCTTCATAACACTAGAAGTCTTCGTGGCCTCTGTAGTGGTGAGATTAGAGCAGCCAGAAGTTACGGTAGCAGCTTAGATATTTTGAATCTACACATGGCTGCCATCTGGTGATCAAAAGTGAATACTCAGACTAAAATATTTAGGAAGGGAGAGAAATAGAAAAGCTTCAAAAGCCACTCATAAGAGAGATCTTTAAAGATTTTATGGAAAATGCATACTGTGAAAAAATTATGCACAGAGTTAATATTTTTTTGTACCAAAATTTAAGTCGTACTTTAGTTCCATTTTCCACAAACTTTTTGAAGTCTCCTTGTGTATTTGTTGGATGTTTTAAGAGCTTAGTGGTACAATATTAGGTTGGTTTTAGCTACAGATATAGGGGAACTTCCATTGGTTTAAAGGAGTCTATGGGGCCAGCATTTATTTACCCTTGTGGTTAAGGCAGCTGGATCCCACACGGTCTACTGGTTGTAATCCCATCTTCAGAAGCTTGAAAACCATGCCAGGCACATGTGTGTGTGTGCCCCAGATCCCAACAGGATGGAGAGGTAGAGGAGGAGGGATTGCAGCATGACCATACCCCATTGCGAGATACTTTCTCCCTCTCCCTTTTGCTCTCTTTCTCTTTGGTCAGCATGTGAGTCCTCTGGTAATTAAACAAATAATATAAGGAGTCTATATAAGAAGTCTCTGGAAGTCAAAATGCAAAGAAGTTTCTTTTTCCATGTTGGATGAGTGAGAACAATGAGCATAGGAGATCTGAGAAGACACCTGCTTCATCTAACAACCCTATAACATTTA